CCATCCAATTGTGATGGAACAAGGATTCCAACAAGGACATCATATACTAAACACATACAAAGTTAAGTTTTAGTGAGGATTTCATTGGATCAGGTACAACACTATATATTTGAAAAAACCCAATCTGAACTAAGGTAGATTCGGTATCCTTCTAAATTAAGATAATTAAGATTTTCTCTGCTTCCTCATACAACTTCCTTCTGATTATTGGATTCAGATTCCAATAGCTGCTGCATGAAGCTAAAGCATGTTCTAAATCTGTCTCTTGTGTTTTTGGATTTACACCACTGTATATAGATGATCTAATGCCAGTATAAAATTACAAAACATTGAGATTACATTTATAATGCCCAGGAAGGCAGTGGAGACCTGCAGGCAAGCCAGGTGGTTTATAACGTAAACGGCTGCAGATCAAAGAACAAATTAGAATTGCAGCAGTGGTTGAGCTGATAGCAAAACAATGTTTATAATAACTATCCAGACCAGGATGTCCTCAACATCATAACAACAGGTGATAATAGGAATCCTCTGGTTGCTTAATAGGGATCAGCTTCTTCCAGTTGATCCAGTAGAAAGAAATGGTAGACAGTCTAGAAATAGTTGGAGCAACCAGTCAGATGCGGACAAAGAAACAGGTCGGAGAAATAAAATCATTCTTAACTACCCTAGTTTGATTAGAAAGGTTGAAAATCCTTTCTAGGAAGTATTGAAAAAATAGATAAGGCCAGAAAGAAATCAAGAGAACAAGAGATTTATCAGTGGGTGATGGATTTATGGCTTGGGCAGAGAAACGATCCTACCTTAACTCCTTTTGGAAAGCAGTTATACATGGACAAGAAAATTTGGAAGGAAAGCCTTTCTCTTAATGTTAGCAAAGGAACAATTACTTTACTGGAAAGCTAAAGCAGCACTTAAGGATTCTCAAAAACACAGAAAACACAACCAAAAGCTTGAATATGAAAAGTGAATGTGGATTCCCCTAGCTGTGGACACTACTGTGCTAAACCGTATGCATAGTAAAATTTTATGAAGTAACCCGTAACATTTATCATCTCTGAATGAACATGTTCCAGAATGAATGAGTCATTTACTTAATCAGTTTATCAGAAGACACATGCCCTGGCCTAGTCAGAGAGAATATCTGTGAGAGATAAATCTTTCTAGCCAATCCTATTTCCTGATCACTTTCAATTATCTTTAAGTGGCTCTAAAAGAAGGTGTTTTCCTTACAGTACTGGATTAGTACATTGAAAGTAGGGGTTTTAATAAAGTTAGGCTATTAGCTAAATTAGGCTTTGGGTGATTTTCCAGCTGACAAATATATGAAAGATTTTTTTCCTATACAGCATACTATGGAAGCTAAATATTAGCCATATAAATTTAGCTCATAGAAGTTATGTAAACTATGGTTTTTACATGATAAGCCATAGTTAATATTTGCTACTGTAGTAGCATATCTAGATATTTTCTTTGGGAAAAATATATTTCTGCCACTTTTGGGCTATCTATTTATCTATCTATCCATCCATGTATATCCATCCGTATCTGCCCTTACTGTATTATTTTTACAAATTCAACCATTTGTGACCCAACAAACTGAACGAAGCCCATCAACCATGTTTTAAAATAAATAACTTATCTTTCCATTCCAAAAGTCCCAACTTCCCTAATTTCCATACTGTTCAGCCCCGCTGCTAACTGTAATAGGAAAGTAATGATTTGCAGTAGGATCACTGGGAGTCCCTGCTCCTTTCAAAAATTCTCCATTAAATTACTGTTTCTCCATTGTTGTTAGAAGCAGATGCCAGAAAATTGGAACAGGCTCATTGGGAATGAGAAATCATAAAGCTCTACTGTGTATATGCAGATATGTAGAGCCCTCAGCCCGATTCCATGTCTGGTTTGCAGACTAAAATATTTATTCAGACGAAAAATGGCTTTTGTAATTTTTCTGATATGATTTTTAGGTGCAATGTTAGTTGAGTTGTCATAACTATTCTTCCTTTACCAACCACCAGAAATGAAGGCACATGACCTCCTGCCTCCCATTCCTAAAATAGATTCACAAAAGCAGAAGACAGGACCTAATATCTGCATTCCTTTTGCCTGAAGCTGATGTTTTTGAGTGGCAATTCTTCTGCCAGGAGTGGATGGGCTCAAATCAAACAGGATTCTAACACCTGCATGTAGAAACGAATAAAATCAATTTGTGCAAACTGTTTTGGAGGTGTCTGAATTCCCCAGTCAGCCATATTTCAAATGTTACCCTGCTTCTATAACATCTGAAAACAGTTCGGGGCTTGGGACTACACTCAAGAGTTTATAAACCTTTCCTACAATAGTTTCCCTTCAAACATTAGGGCTGCAATATAAATTCTCGATGATTGTTTTAATTTTGTACGCCGCCCTGAGTCCTTTGGGATTGGGCGGCATATAAATAAATAAAATAAATAAATAAATAAATAAATAATACTACTTGTGTATCTAGCTGGCCATGATTTCTAGAACATCTGAGGCTACTTTAAATCAGCTACATCATCTAAATACTTCCCTTTATCTGAAATATTTATATTTGATGAAAGACTTTATCCCATCCAGGATATAGCACAGAAAGGATGCTTGATCAGGATCAGCAAGATTGTCTGGGACATCCTCTTCACAACCTGTTTTCCTTGTCCCCTTCTGGGAGGAGGGGGGTCCGTGGTATCCGAAGCAGAACATCCAGATTCAGCCACAGTTTCATTCCATACAGTATTAACCTTTGAACTCTCAAGCTTCCTCCTTCCGTTATCTATTCAAGAGGGACAGTGTTTAATATTCATATATTATGTATAAGTAGGGGTGTAGGTCTATACATATGTTGTACATAGTATGTATATGCTGTATATGTTTAGGTGTGTGTCATGTATGTGTTCACTTTGTGAGCAGGCAATTAAATTTCATTTTTGATGTGTGTCATTGTGCCCACAGTAAAAAAATTACAATAAAGGTTATCTTATCTAGTCCAGGGCTTTTCAACCTTTTCACCCATTGTACCACTTTTAGGATATGGGAACATCCAAGTACCACCAGTCGCCTAGCAAGGTGTCAAAAACTTGATGACCCCCCCCAAAAAAGGAAAAAAGTGATAAAGTACAGGTAGTCCTCGACTTACAACAGTTCGCTTAGTGACTGTTCGAAGTTACAATGGCACTGAAAAAAATGCCCCCCACGCCACAGCTGAGCAAGACACTGCCTGCCCATCCGGCGATGCTCTTCCTCCTGTCTGAGGTTTTCATTGTTGTGAGCATTTCTGTTGAGGATTGGCAGCAGGAGTGGGGTGGGGGTGTTTGGTTTTTATTCCCCCCTATCTGCTGGGTGGTTGCAGCAGATTTTGTCACTTCACATGACCCTGGGACACTGTGACCGTCATCAATATGAATCAGTTGCCAAGCATCTGAATATAAATCACAACACCCTGGAGATGCTGGAACATTCCAGCTGATCGGCAATTCTTCTGGGCTCAGCAGAAGCGCCAGGATCAGCACCAAACTCCAGCTGGAATGCGGCACTGATCCTGTTGCTTCCGCTGAGCCCTGACAGCCCTGCAGCTCCAGCCATCTCTCACTCAAGCTTGTGCAGTGCTGCCACTGGTTCAACTCATTCCCCTCCCCTGCTACCACTTTTCTAGGATGGTTGCATACCACTTGCAAGGTGCCAATGTGCCATAGGTGGTACCCGTACCACCAGTTGAAAAGCCCTGATCTAGTCTACAAGTCAATTAGGCTAAGGAAATGCTAGTTCTGAGGCTTACACAATTAACACAAAGTAATGGGAAGTGAATACAGTGGGTGGGGACTTCTAACCCTTATTCTTAATTGCATCTGTTTTTATAAGAACTAGCTCTTATGAAAGGGAACTGTTTATAGTGCAAGCATCAGGTCCTGGTAGGTCTCCAAAGATACCCTTGTGATCTGACCTTCCCCAGAAGAACTTGGAGGTTTATCTGTCTCCAGTGTACAATACAGTCCTTTCAACAGGTCCAAGAAAGCTCCACACCCATTTGCACTACTCTGGTGACCCTGAGGACACATATAAACCTCCAGATGTCCTCAACGACTCTGTAAAAGAATGCAAATGATCAGCTGCCTGCAAGGAGCATAAATCCTTCCATTCCCCACCATCCAGTCAGAGCAAAAGAAGCTTCTTGGATGAGAAGCGAAATGTCTTCAAAGAACAACAAGAAAGCCCAGTTGCTGGTGAAAAAGCACCTCTGAGACTCTTGTGGAAAATGAAAGGAGACTTTTACGAATTCCAAAGCGTGTAACAGAGAGGCTTATTTGCGCAAGGTTCAGAAGCCGGTTAACAACAACAAATTCTGAACAAACTACAATTTTTATACTTTCCATTTCTCAGGAACAAAGAAGCTCACATGGAATCTACATTGTATATCATTCGGTTAGTTTCTCACAGGCATACAATGAAGAGAGTTTTTCTTTATATGTTTCTCAGTGTGCATTAGGTCAGTCACATATCGTTAACACAGCTTTTGCTAACACAGCTTTCTTCCAGGCATTATGCAGACACATCATTTTACTTGAATAATGATTTTTCATTATCATTATTATAATTCTACTTTATTCTTCATTTTATTCTATGTTATTCTACTTTATTCCACTTTAAGACAACTATGATCTGGATGACTAAGAATCTCCATAGACATAAACTAGATTATACCTCCCACTTTATCTAGCTTTATCCCATTGGACACCTTTTCCCTGCAAGCCTATGTAAAATAAAAATTAAGGTTCCAAGTTCATTGGAGATTCCACTGCAGGGGAAGCGTAGCTGCAGGGTTATCATCGCGCGGGAGAACACAAAACACCCAAAACGTTCCCCCCCCCCCGCAGAAAACAAAGACAGCACCCCCCCCCCGAAACCGAGCCACCCAGAAGCAAGCCCCGCCCAGTCCTAGCCCCGCCCCAACCGGTGAAATCCCGAGAAAGCCTAAGCACGCGGCCGTATTTTATCCTTGCCCCGCCCCGCCCCCTTTTCTTCCCTCGCGAGCCAATCGAAAGTGGAAAGTCAGATGACGCGCCGGGTTTTTTTCTTCCTTTTTTTTTTAAACGCCATGGAGGCGGGGCTTCGCTCTGGGGTTTGTCTCGCGCTGGCTTAAGAAGGCGGGGTGGGAGGTGTACAGAGTAAACGGAGTCCCGAGAGAGAGAGGGAGAGAGAGAGAGAGAGAGAGAGAGTCGAATATAAAAAAAGAAAAGAGGAAGGGGCGGGAAAGAGGTGGATGAGAACCCGCGCGCCTAACGGCTACTAACGACCCAACGCTCAACCTGCCGGAAGCGCAAGCGCCGAAAGAGAGGGGGGGGAGGGAGAAGAGGAAAGAAACGGACACGCCCCCAGCTCGACCGTCGTCCCATTCCCGGCCAGAGAGCGCGGCGAGCGGTGGCTGCCGTGGAAGCCTGCCGTACCTCTCCCCCCCCCCCCGGTCTTCGTGCCCGCAGAAGAAACCCAGGAGGGAAGAAATGGCGTCCTCGCCGGTAGCGGCGAGTGCTGGGACGCCTCTCGACCTGTCCGGCGGACGCCCGTCGCGGCTGGGGCAACTCCCGGCGGAGCTCTTCCGCTGCTGGGGCTGCTTCAGCTTCCTGGGCGAGCCGGTGACGGCGCCGTGCGGACACACCTACTGCCGCCGCTGCCTCCGGGAGAGGCTCCACGCCCATTGCCGCCACTGCGGGGAGCCGCTGGCGGGCACCTCGGTCGCCGTGGTCCTGGCTCACTTGGCGGAGAAGTGGTTCCCGGCGGAGTGCGCCCGCTCTCGGACGTGGCGCCGGCTGGCCGATTTGCTGAAGCAAGGGCGGCCCCGCGAAGCTCGGGAAGCCGCCGACCAGGCGCTCCGAAAGGGTAAGGCGGCACAGGCCCGCCGCCCACTTCCTTTCAATAACCCGGCCCGGTTGCCTAAAACGCGTGCCGAGTCAGGTCGTGTGGATGGGTTTGGCCGTGAAGGGAGTCTCCGACCCTGGGTTACTTGGGTTGGAGGGACCCGGGCGGGGGGGGGTGGGGGGAGACGGCAGATTAGAGCTTGCAAAGAGGCAGCCTCGGAGGCTTCGTGCCTGCGGTGACCCGGACGTTGCGGATCCCGGAGTTTTTGGAAGTCCAAAGGATTCCTCGGATTTTGTTGTGTAATGAAATGCGTCCTCCGCTCCTTCTGCCCTGGAAAGCCGAAGCTAGTTTGTCAGTGAAAGTATCTACAGTAAATCAAATTTCAAACCATCCTAGGAGTCTCAGATGCCGGTATTTTTACTGGCTGCTGTAGGTTTGAGACGGGAAACGAATAAACCCACCGGATTTTTTTTCTTTCTTAATATATAAGGATAGAAAGGCTGATCGTAATTTGCCGGGTGGGCTGAAACGGCTTGCTGTGTTAGCCATAGCACAGTTGTTTTATATTTGGCTGTATACAATTCTGCAGAAGATACAGAAGTTGTCACTTTTATTTCCTTATAGGAACAGGTTGGGGGGAAGTTTAGTTAGAGGCATTCTTTAGGGTTGTAGCAGCTAAGAAGTAGGTTACTTTGTGCCCTTATTTTCTAGAGACGGGAAACAGCTGTCATATTTCAAACGTCATCTTCATAATGTATGCACTATAAGGAAATCTTTAGAAGATGGACAAGCTAATATGTTTTAGGAAACGGCTTAAAAATGTTTTCATGCACCTGTCTGGAGGATTATGAATCACTCTGGACCTAGTAATTTTAGGGAAAGGACGAGTATATGCAGCCTCCTTCAAAGGTTAAGATAATTCACCTGCTGGTGCTGGTTGCATAAGGAAATGTGGGCGTGGAAGGGGAAACATTGTATAATATTGGTGATATGTGTACACTGTGTATACACATATAGTGACAATAAAGTTTATAAATAAATATAGATAAGCAGATAGGGCTTTCACAACACATTGCTGCGAGAAGACTTATATATACCAAGGTCGAGAGATTAGTGTAATTCAGTTAGCACCTTAGCGCATTCTTAACTAGTAAGTACTTACAGTGCAATGTGAACAGTATAAAGGATAGTTAATCATATTGCTTTATTTCCTTATGCGTATGGACTGGTAGCCATCATGACACTAGATTTGTCTAATTGTTTTTCTGATAACTTCTCAGACTACAGATTATGTGCACACATATGTAAAATATATTCTTTATTAATATTATTCAGTTTTTATTTTGTACTTAAGATTCTATGAGCTTCATACTGCAATTTTCTAAAATGAAAACATGCAGGAAAAGAAACAATCAGTTTAGCATAGTTTCAAGTTTGAAATTTGAAACCAGATTTCTTCATATTGATGGAAAGATCTTTTATACTTGATCATTTTGTCAAGGAACTCATTTAATATATATGAATTGCAAAGCATTAATAAAACATTCAATTCTGGGCATTTATATATCTTATAAAGGATGATTCTGAGTGTCAGATACATTTATTAGATAATGAGATGTGGAAATAGCTGCAGTAAAAGTCTGCAGTCTGACTTAACATGCATGGAGCAGAGTAACAGTAAACTAATGCAAAGCATAGTCAGGAGTTCCCAACCCCTGGTCTGGGGACCGGCATGCCAGTAAACGGGCCACACAAACAAGCAAAGCTCCATCCTCGGGATACAGGCAGTGTTCAAAACCATACCCCCTCTGGTCCACAGAAAAACCTTTCTCCATTGCACCAGTCCTTGGTGCCCAAAAGGTTGGGGACCTCTGCTATAAGTTATTTATGTAAAAAAATTTAATATAATAGAATATAATTTTAAAATGTACTTTGTTTATATAATCTAGCATAAGACTTTATTAACAGAAGTTGTAAACTCCAGGTCTTAAGAGATCAGTTATAAGGGACTTCAGCTATATTTGTTTTAAATATTTTTTCCTACTGTGCATTAACAAATTTTATAAAATATTTGGAAAATATCTGTAGCGATAACTTTTTAAAAATATTAGATTCCAAATGTGAGCAATAAAGCCTTTTGACAGTTTTAAAAATTGCTGCAAGTTATTGACTAAAGTTGTGTTACCAAGACAGCAATTATATAATTTTGGTGTGCTGCCTTTGCACTGCTTTCCTCATATAGAATCATTAACTTGAGTGCAGATTTTGATGTAACCTTATCAAAAAAATGTTTGAATATTAATGTAATTTCATTTTCCCCTCATGGTTACCCATACATTACAAAAGAGATAAAAATATTTAATCCAGTAATGTAATTGATTATGCAATAAGTTCAGTTTGGAGAAATTAACAAAATAGCTTTTTAAAAAATTTTTGTAAATGTATTTAAGTTGCTTTTAAACCCTTTTAAAAAAAAAGTCTTGTGCCTCTTACAATTAGCTCTCTAGGGTTCTTTTAAAATTATATGCTTTTGTTTTTTACAGTGTCACAACTTCAGGTGACATTGGAGATACAGTACAATTATAGCATGGTTCTTTCCTAACTTACTTCCCTGCCATAAGCAAATGGCCTTTAAAATGAAGATTAGTAAACCTTTAATCAAACGTTGCATTGATTTTGGCTGCTCTTTTTTTATATTTGTAAGTAATTGTTTTATGGAACTATCAGTTACAAAATGTACTGCTGAAAAAAAAAATCGTGAAAGCATTGAATTATGCTTTCTTTGCTTTTTAGCACATTAAGAAATATATTTACATAAGATCTTATGTAAATTACATGAGAAACTATTTAAATCAAGGTATTGCTAAAGTGGTATTGAAATAGCTTTCATAAATTTCTTGTCAGCATATATACAATATTTAATTATGCTACCTTCTTTAGTATCAGCCTCTATACACATAGTTGTCAAAATGTTGGCAATCTATCTTCTTCAATCATAGAGGCATTTTCCTGCATGATTATCTAACCATGTGAATATCACATGAAGTATTAATACCACTCTTCAATGCCTTGGTAAGGCCACACTTGGAATACTGCATCCAGTTTTGGTCACCACAATGTAAAAAAGATGTTGAGACTCTAGAACAGTGATTCTCAACCTTTCTAATGCCATGACCCCATAATACAGTTCCCCATGTTGTGGTGACCCCCAACCACTTATACATCACCGGGTGCCAGGGGCATGGCCAAAGAAAAGGGGGAAAAATGGCAGACAGCCTTGTTTGGGGACCCCCGTGAAATGGTCGTTCGACCCCAAATGGGGTCCCGACCCACAGGTTGAGAACCACTGCTCTAGAAAGAGTACAGAGAAGAGCAACAAAGATGTAGGGGACTGGAGGCTAAAACATATAAGGAACCTTTGCTAGAATTGGGTATGTTTAGTTTAACGAAGAGAAGGACAAGGGGGGACATGATAGCAGTATTCCAATATCTCAGGGGCTGCCATAAAGAAAAGGGAATTAAGCTATTTTCCAAAGCACCTGAAGGCAGGACAAGAAGCAACGGGTGGAAACTAATCAAGGAGAGAAGCAACCTAGAACTAGGGAGAAACTTCCTGACAGTGAAAACAATTAATCAGTGGAACAACCTGCCTCCAGAAGCAGTAAATGCTCCAACACTGGAAGTTTTTAAGAAGAGACTGGACAGCCATTTGTCCGAAATGGTGTAGGGTTTCCTGCCCGAGCAGGGGGTTGGACTAGATGACCTCCAAGGTCCCTTCCAACTTTACTACTATTATTATTATCTGTTTTCTAGGTTTATATTACTTTTTATTATTTTTCCTCACAGGTGCAAGGCTGCTTTTCAGATCAAATCAAATGTTGATCCAGTGGGTGTGATAGGGACTGACATGGGCTAAGAGAGAGAGTGACTGGCACAAAGTCACTTAGCCTCAGGCGGGACTAGAACTCACCGTCTCCTGGTTTCTAATGGGGTGCCTTAATTACTAGATCAAATTAGCTCTCTATGTTTCTATTACATACTGTATACTGTTTAAATTACAGAGTTTTACAATTGGGTTCAGTGAACTGCATTCTAAATATGTGTGTGTTGTTTCTTTTAGATCCCAGTGATTTAATGTTAAGAATTTACAGAGCTGAATCTTATGCTAGTCTCCAGGAATTTAAATCTGCACTAGATGAACTGAATGCTGTTACTGCTAAAATACCAAATTGGCCTGAGGTAAGAATAAACCCAAAATGAAGTTACTTATTTAGCATAGGTTTCTTATTTTTCATAATATATCTGAGAGGCCAACATAAGAAATAATAAATTATGCCCATGGGATTTTTAAATTTGTTTTTTAAAGTAAGTATAATGCATATTTCTTGGAAAATATCTGTATCGTTGCTGCCATTCTGTAGGATGCAAAAAACGTTGCCCAGTATGGGTTTCAAACTTTTTCAGGCTGCAGGGATCTGCAGGTTAAAGGGGAAAAAAAGAAATTCCAGAGCCCCAGATCAAAGTTCTAGTGATGAAAATGGCTGTATTTAAATCAACTTTTTTTTAACCTGTAAGTCTCTCATGGAATTTCATCAACTTTTTCATCAAGGGTTCCAGGATTTTTTGTTTGTTTGTTTGTTTAATATACAGGTCCCTGCAGCCTGAAAAAATTTGAAACCCATACTCTTGGCAACATTTTCTGAGTCCTACAGAATTATGGCAATGATACAAATCTTTTACAGGTCAGATAATGAAATAATATAATCAGATAATCAACCAACCCATGGATTAGAGCAGTGGTTCTCAACCTGTGGGTCGGGACCCCATTTGGGGTCGAACGACCATTTCACGGGGGTCGCCAAACAAGGCAGTCCGCCATTTTTCCCCCCTTTTCTTTGGCCACGCTCCTGGCACCCAGTGATGTATAAGTAGTTGGGGGTCACCACAACATGGGGAACTGTTTTATGGGGTCACGGCATTAGAAAGGTTGAGAACCACTGGATTAGAGAATCTGCCTCTTTTTCTGGAAGCAGTCATAAAATACAGTACAGATAATTGAACGAACTATGTTGCATTACATTCTTGAATAAATTATCTTTCCATTGATATATAATTTTATGGTACTACTCCCCCCCAAAAATGGTGTTATTAGCCATCAAACCTCAAAAATACACTTTCCCCAAAAGGTTTCCACTGTATATTTTATTGGAAAATTCAAAAGGTCATGCTTTGACAGGAAACTTGCAAATTCTGTTTCCTCTGTTTGGTTTATAGGCTATATATTCTCATTTCATAGCAATAACAGGTATTTTAGTTGATAAGTCAGACACATCTGCCTGAAATGGTATACAAAGGGCAGTTACATGTGGTCATGAACTGTTATATCTGATGCGAATGTACTTTTAAATTATGTATCCAAAATTTATACATATCACTATATGAAGAACTATTTCATTTATCATGGAGTAAACTTGTGTTACTGTTCTGTACTGGAAAGAAAACATATACAGTTCAGATATAGAACCTTAGATCTACAGTATACAGTATATTTAGTTCCTGTTTCTGAAATGGCTGTCAATTGATGTACTGGAAAGATCCACTAGTATTCCATGTGATCAGGATTTAATGATAAGTTTCATAAGACAAAATTTATATCATTGCTGTGCCTTATTTATAAATTGTGGATGAAACCAACAGAGAAACCAAACATGTTAAAAACTACATTATTAAATGGATGCAGAATTTCAATATAATAATGGATATGCAGCAGTGGAAATTTCATTGGAAGAAAAAATATTACCCTAAATGTTATACTTAGATAGCACTTATATAAGATGTTTTATCACTGGTATATTTTTCTGGTACTGGATTGATAAAATGGAGAGTTCATTTTCAAAAATAGTTGGAAATTAATGGCTGTGTTGAATTGTTTTACTGTAGCTGCTGGCAATGAAGTTAAAGCTCAACAATTTGGGGAATTATTTTTAATAAAATAAATTTAAGCTCAATTTCCAACATGCTAATTTTAAAATAAATATCACTAAACCTGATATTCAAACAAAATGTACCAAATTTATATGTAGTAAATATTGTAATGATACTCTAAGTTTCTTATTGGAACCCAGTTCCTTCTGCAGAAAAATGCTAATTAAGTGAGTATACTATAATATCCAGAATAAATTTGTATTACAAATGTAAATCTGATACAGAATTTAATTCAAGTTGGAAACCATTTTGGGATTATAACTATATACAGCTTGTATCACATCTGAAATTTTGGTTTCAATGTAAAGTCTTCAATTACGTGGACAGAAAGCATTGTAATACTTAATCTCATTTTTTTAAAAAATTATCTGCATTAATTATTGCTGTTGATATTTATATTACTTGAATTGTCACAGTGATTTGTAATTTTTAAAACAATATAATGTAATCTGTTATTAAAAACTAATCAATGAAATATTTAAAATGTAATACTATTATTCTTGGATATTCACTGTTTATCCACTTTATGCTTTATTTTCCTTCTTACCTTCTCTTAAAATGCTTAATAAAATAAAGCAGATGTAATTTTATATTTTAAAACTGCACCAACATATTTCCTTTATAAGTAATGTACTATATTATTGTTTTCCATTAGCTTCATGTCTGTATGGTTTATTTTCGTTCTAGTTTTGACATCAGGGAATCTACCAATGTTTTTAAAAACAAACTTAAACCTACTAACAGGCAATAATAGTATCTTTAGAAAAAGCATGCTTGGGATTAGGTTTGCACATCAAATTCAATCACAATAAATGTGTCTTGCAGGTATATTTCAGAAGAGCAACAATACTTAATAACGCTGGTTCTGTAGAAGACGCCTTAAAAGTCTTTCTTCATTGCCTATCCCTTGACGATGGATTTGTTTTAGCAAAAGTAGAAGCAAAAAAGGTACTTAAACATTCATATAATAGCTTTTCTGGCCAGACTTATTTTTGTTTAAGAAATTAGATTGGAAAGGAAGCAGACTGAAAATAATAATAAAATAGAGATTTTCATGCTGTTGAGATAGGGAATGGTTTTAAGGGAAAACTTTTGTAAGAGTCCAAGAAATGTATTTAGGCTATCAAAAACCAGTATTTATGCCATCAAAGTCCTCTGACAAAATCTAGGAGTTAAATTATCTGCATCACACAATAGACTCTAGGAGTTACATGAGGACCATAGAATAATGTTATGCAACTACTGTTTTCATTTTAATCAGTGTTATAGATAACTATTATTCAAACAAAATGTGATCAAAAAATTCTAACTATAAAACTATGTATGGTTTCAAAGCAGGAGAGTAACATTAGGATAAATAATTGTTGGTTACTTTGAGACTTCTTTCAGATTGTGGGAGAATGATGAGCTATTTAATGTCTAAATGTTGGGACAATATTAAAGAAATCTATTTACGTTACTTATGAAGTGTAATAGTCATTATATTGTATTCCTTAATGTCAATTTTATAGATATTGCGTAATTTGCTGTCACCAGAAAATATTAGTGAGAAGTTGAAAGAATCTGCTTTAAATACTTCATATGTTCGAAGTAAACAACTTAAACACAGCTCTGCATTTGAAATGGAAGAGTCTTGTGATTTTTTACAGCTCACCCCAGTGTCAGTAAGTAAATATTCTCATGGAAAATAATTATGAAGAACACTGGAACCAGTTTCAGATGTGTGTTCCACATATCTGTTTGTGTCTTGAAAATTTTTTAATGCTGATTAACTGAAGTTCAGCACGTCAGTTAATTAAAATGGTCAGGATATAAGTTCAATAAATAAAGATAGAATACTGAAAACTGAATCTGCTAGTGGAATATTAGTTACTTTTTCATTATAAAAAAATGTAGAGGATAGGTTGAATTTTGTTTTTTAATCTTTTCTGATAGGTCTCAGAAGTGCCACAAGTTACATTAGACACTATTGGAGGAAGTTTGCAACGTGCCCAGTCTGCAAATTCTCTTGATTCAGTAGAAAAAGATGCCAAAGACGATATATTAAAAAGAGTATCTTCTGAACCATGGCTTTCTGGCCAAGAGAAAGGTATTTATTTTAAAAGGAGGTTGCCTTTTCCAAACAAAATACTACTATTTGTGAAGATGGAAACAAAGAAAATAAATATTTGGTCATGTGTATTGTTTTATGAGTTATGCTCTATTTCATGTTTTAATTTGTTTAGAAACTCCAAAAGGGAATGCTACCTTTTCAATCACTTGTGGAATAGTTCCAGAAAATTTGGTTGATGTAACAGACTTTGAATGCTCATTGTGTTTGAGGTAATACAGTCTGATTTCAACATTTATGATCTTTTTTATCATACTGTAGCATTACTTAAAGGAAGCTTTAATATTAAACTCAGTGCACAGAAGCTACTAACATCATTTCTTCATGAAAATGTTCTCATGATTTGTTCAAAATCCCTTAATAAGACTGCAAAATAAGGTGAGGTTTCAGGCTATTTAAATAAGCTCTAATTAGACTTCTTTAAAATTAGCTTACTGTAAGACTGGGTGGCCTCAGAGATTATTTTTTAGTAGCATTAGGAGTCTTCAGAATGACACTCATAAACAATACTAGCATACTCTCCACCTATTTTTTTTTTAGCTTGAAAGGAAAGAAAATTGGCTTAGTGCATCTATAAACATTTCCTGTTTCTGGCTTCCATTGCTGGAGAGCCAGTTTGGGATAGTGGTTAAAGGCATCAGACTAGAAATTGGTCAATGGCAAATCAGTGGAGGGGCTTGTACAGGGAGCCTCCAGGAATTGGCACAGACTCAAGGCACAAATAAATAAAGTATAATAAAATAAAATTGCTAGTTGAAATGTTCCCTGTCCCTAACTTACTAACAAACGCAGGTTGTCCTCGACTTATAACAGTTGGTTTAGTGACCGTCCAAAGTTACAACAGCACTGAATAAAGTAACTTAGGATCAGTTTTTCACACGACCGTTGCAGCATCCCCGTGGTCACATAATCAAAATGTTGATGCTTGACAGCTGACTCATATTTATAATGGTTGCACTGTCCCTGGTTCACCTTTTGTGATCTTCTGACAAATAAAGTCAATAAGGAAGCCAGATTCACTTAACCACTGTGTGCCTAACTTAAGAAATGTAGTGATTCGCTTAACAAACTATGGCAAGAAAGGTCGTAAAATGGAGCAAAACCCACTTAACAAATGCCTCGCTTAGCAAAAGCAATGTTGGGCTCCATTGTGATGATAACTTGAGGACTACCTTTGCTAACCATTTTTGTGTGCAGCCTTCAAGTTACTTTCTTCCAATTCAATTGTATTTGCATCTTAATGGTAATTCACTTAAAACTCGCAACCTTTTTTTAGGCTTTTCCTTCATCCTGTGACAACGCCCTGTGGCCATACATTCTGCAAGAACTGTTTACAACGCTGTTTGGACCATGCTCCAGAGTGTCCCCTCTGTAAAGACAACTTAAAAGAGGTAATGCTTTTTATGAACGTTTATAAGAGACTTCTGTCATAAAGCAAAGTTTGAATCAAAAGCTGAAAAACCCTGGTGGAATTGCAATAACCTTTTGTTCTGTGAGTGGAAATGGCTGCTATTTGCAACGTTTTCTTCTTAAAAATGCAAGAAAGACTGTAGATTAATGTAAAAAAGCCCTTATTCCTGACGTTTTATCAAGATCTCATCGTATTTTAAGAATCTCCAAAATCGGTTTTAACATGTAAGAATTTTATTACAGTTATTATTTTAAATATATAAAAATGAGTAACTGCATAGTAAAATGTCGTTGATTTTTAGTTATGAACTGACTTACATCTTTTTCATAAAATTGGGAAATTACTGGCAAGAGTTAACAGAGTTTCTTAGCATGGGAACTTTCATTAAAAGAGATTATATCCTATTTTCAGCTAATGCCAGTGTTGCTTAATACAGACCTTGCTTGAGCACTGTGTATTACTAAGCAGTGGTGCATGTATAGTAAAAGCAAGTGCCTAGGAACATATAGGTACCATGAACCCAACCAGATCTCCAAACATTAAAAGAATTAATGATTGGCTGCAGGACTCACATGCATACCTATAAAGGAATCTAATTTGCCTCAGAAGGAGTGATAGATGGCAGACAGAGATTGCAGACTGCCAATACCATTTTATTTCTTACAAGAGCATCTGGCGTTTGTTATGGACCACCAGTGCTGCTGTTCTTCCCTTACATGCAAGAGCTGTTTATATATGCAAGCCCTGGGCACCAGAACAGACTTTTGACAAGTGAAAGGGGAGACACAATGATTGCTATTTTTGTGAATTTCTAAAAACAGGGCAAGGAAGTGTTGGACCATGAGTTTCTTGATTGCAAAACTAGTCAGGTGAAAGGACACTTATGCTTAGGAGACACCCACACCCACACTGAAAATTCATTCTCTTTCATGTATCTTTATACTGAAGTTCAGTATGGTCAGCTGTTTTCTGCTTAATTCTTTGAAACTGAATTAGAATTCTTTATTGGCCAAGTGTAATTGGACACACAAGGAGTATTCAGTGATAGTCATAGGATGCTAAATAAAAGCAATCAACATAAATCATAAGATACAACAACAAAGTGATAGTCATAAGATGCTAAAGGAATAGGTAATAGGAAAGATATAATACTAAAGATAGGAAAAATAGGAAATGATATGAAACCAAAAAAGCCTGTAGTTTTTATGTAAAAAATTATAATGGTTTAACAATTTATCTTTCATTTAGTTTTTGGCACGTAAGGAATACAGCACTACACAGTTGCTAGAAGAACTAATAGTGAAGTATTTACCTACTGAATTATCCGAGAGAAAAAGAATTAATGACGAAGAAATAGCTGAACTTTCAAGGTGTGTGTGTGTGTACATATGCATTTGTATATAATAAAGCTTATTAACAGACATTTAGAACAAAGACTAAACTGTCTGGGAACAGTAATCATACAGAATCTTGTGTAAATCTTTGCTACAAAGCCAAACTGAAAAATTCTAGTAATTAAAACATCCATGTTCCATTTATACAGTTAAGTGGAATAAGATTTTCTTAACACTCCTTATTTATATTATTATGTTAACTGTAAGACTTTTGTTCAGTTACTGAAAGGGTTTGTAATTATATAAATATGCAGGAGACTGCAGAAAATATCACTATGTATTTAATATGAAAAATAGTGCTATCTGTAATATCACAAGTTGAATGATAGTCCATTTTTAGCCACAATTGTGCTTTGGACTAGTGGTCCAGTCATTTTGAAGAGAATGCACAAGGATATAATGTAATGTTGGGGGAAAGGATATTTCTGAGGAATTTGATATCTTGAGTTAAATCTTCCTGCGTGGGTAGAATTCTAATTTTAACTTTATTTTCTGCATTCTGTTCGAAGTTTGACCAAGAATGTTCCTATCTTTGTTTGCACTTTGGCCTACCCAACTGTGCCTTGCCCCCTCCATGTGTTTGAACCAAGATATAGACTGATGATTCGAAGAAGTATAGAAACTGGAACAAAACAATTTGGGATGTGTGTACATGACCCCCAAAATGGGTAGGTTTATATTCAAAAATCACAAAATTAAAATGTCTAAAATATTTTTAAGCTGGCCATTGACCACAGTGCCCTTTCTTCTAGATTTGCAGATTATGGCTGCATGTTGTACATTAGAAATCTTGACTATCTGCCAGATGGAAGATCTGTTGTCGATACAATTGGGTTAAAGAGATTCCGAGTTATTCGAAGAGGGATGAAGGATGGTTATTGCACTGCAGACATTGAGGATTTAGAAGATATAAAGGTACATAAAACATCTAATTTTTAACTCTACAAGAAGACACCTTGAATATTGCAGCCCTAGTCCAATGTGCAGCATTCACTTAGTTCGATAGGAGGAGGGGAGAGATTCTTGCAGTGAATGACAATATATAGAATTCCATTTAGATCCTATGTTAGTAAATTACTGATTTAATTTGTCGTTCGTAGAGGACAGAGATTTTTAAATATTTTGTGCCACGGATCCCTTTGAGGATTTGTGAAAGGTATAGATATCTCAGAAACATGTATTTAAATAAATATAAAATGCATAAATATAGATCACATTGCAAAGGAAACCAATTATGCTAAAATACAGATATCGAAATATTAACAAACATACAGTAATATATAGTAATTACGTGCTTCTTTATTAATTATCTATCAAACCAGTAACAAGATAGTATTCTTTTTTAGGATATAATAATTTTTGATGGTGACATTTATTGCGCATTTTTGGAGTCTAAAGGCCATACGTTATTTTGTTGCCTACATATAGTTTTGAATTGAAAGCTACATTTCAGTTCAAGAAAATTGAGGAAACAATAAACCAGCTGAGTCAAAACCATGAAAATGAACAGCCTTGTCCCAGAGCAGATCATCTGACCCTGTCTCAGGGCCTGCTGAAAGGGCCATGTTTTTACAGCAGGGTTGGAGCCTTATGGTGCCCCAGGGGCAAATACTGTTCCACGGGGTAGGTGCAGCTGCAGAGAAGACAGGTCTCCTAGGTCAGGGCTTTTCAACCTTTTCACCGATTGTACTACTATTAGGATATGGTAGTATTCGAGTACCATCTAGCAAGGTGTCAAAAACTTGATGACCAAAAAACCCCCCACCCCTGTTCAAAGTTGCAATTGCACTGAAATGACATGATCATTTCTCGCACTTATGACCATTGCAGCTTGCCCAGAGTCATGTAATTTATATTTGGATGCTTGGCAACTGATTCATATTTATGATGGTCACAGTGTCCCAGGGTCATGTGATCCCCTTTTGACAAGCAAAGTCAATGGCAGGGCTGCTGGTGGGCAAGTGCTAAGGCAGGACTTCCTTCCCTCCCTCCCTTCCCTCATTCCCATCTCCTTATGAAGGAAGAATTTGAAATGCTCCCCCCCATATTTTCCCTCTTCCATATAGTCATCAAACAAGGAAAAGCCTCCAGAGACAGAAAAGACAAGCTGCTAAGTGAACTAGCTTAAAAAGGCACATTCCCCTTTAAGAATTAGCTACTGTCTAGAAAGGAAAGCTAAGGAGTGCAGCCGGCACTTAAGGAAGAAAAAAAAATGTAAGGACTGGCTGCCAGCTAAGTCAGCCTCCCCAAATGGCTCCATTCATAGGTAAATTTTGCTACAGGCAAAATTCATTCAGGAGAAAAATACTTCAAAATCCCTTGCAGCAAAACGTATAGCTGTAGCAAAGCAATAGAAGCTAACAAGAGACATCAGCCAAATAGAAATTGCCAAACACTCCTTAAGAACACAAGCCCACATTACACAAATCGCAGAACTTCAGAGTCACAAAAGCAAATAAGAATCCTTCCACTCTCCATCTCCTCCCTCCCTGCCTCACCTCCAGCTGATGCTGCTTTCTTCATTGCTGCCTTTCTTCATTCCTCGTGGAGGGCGACCCTTTCCCCACTGCATTTCTTGCCTGTTTGTTTCTGCCAGCACAGGTGGCCACCACAGAAATTGTAGATCGGCTCATGGCCAGCCTGCTTGATCTCCTCTCCCCCACCCTTCTCCTTCTTTCCCTTTGGTGCAGCTAGACCTGACTCCGCTTCCTCCCAGGGCTTCTCTCTCCCTCTCCCGCCCAAACTGCCTCCTTTTATAGCCTCTCCTGTCTTCACCCCCTCCTCCTCCTTTCTCTTCCGGGTGAGCTGGAAGTGAGCCTGGGGCCTTTGCCTAGCCCCAATCACTTTGCAGCTCTGGAGTACTCTCTCACAGTAAGTCCTGCACTGCGCTGGCTCGTTCCCTCCTTCACTACACTTGGCTGGGCAGGGCCACGAACCACCTGCCCACATGCTAATGTACCACAGGTGGTACGCATACCACAGGTTGAAAAGCCTGGTCCTAGGTGTTACTGGATGACAGTGCTTTTACACCTGGTATCAATTGTTTTAATTGTTTTGGTTTTTATGTTTTATGATGTACACTGCCCAGAGTCACTCGTTGACATGGGTAGCTATGGAGATCAAACAAAGCTGGAGTACGCCAACCTCTACTTAGTCTTACAGTATAGGCAATAAGAGCAGAAAGATAGATGTGTAACTAAACAGGCAAAAGGGACCAACACCTTGAATCACACCAGAAAACCTGCCACTAGCCAGTACAGCTCACAAAGCTGAGATGTGACATGGACAAACATGGGGACTTCTCAACTAACTCATTGGCTACATTTTGGCCAAATTAGCTTACGAGTGATCTTTAAGAGTAATCTAGTGCAGCGGTCCCCAACTTTTTTGACATGGGGAGGGAATGGTTTCAGTTTCGCTTGCTCGCTCACTTGCCACTCACCTCCAGCTGTGTAGCCCAGTTCCTAACAGTATGGTTCCATGGCCTGGGGGTTGGGGACCCTGATCAACTGCACAATGCAATAATCCAAGCAGGAGGTGACTCAGCCATGAATAACTTGTGTGACAGGCCTTACAATCCAGGGTTCTTTTTATTAAAAATAATAATAAAGAGAATTAGCATGCTGCAAAGTAAAGCAGCAGCCTGAGATATTCTTATTTCTCAAAACGCTGTTTCATTTTTGTTGGGACCAAGTAGATTATTTAGATGTACCTTAAGAAATCGTGGAAAGAGATTCTATAGCAGTGGTTCTCAACCTTTTTAATGCCGCGACCCCCAACCGGTCGTAAGTCGAGGACTACTCAACCGGTCGTAAGTCGAGAACTACTCAACTGGTGCAGCACCGTTTGCAGAATGGGACTTTTGGCGGGCTCAGCAGGGCAGAGACAGCCTGGACAATTCCTATTGGCTTTTGAAAGCCAATAGAATTATACTCTATTCAAGAGAGTCTATTCTATTGGCTTTCAAAAGCCAATAGAATAAAAGGGAGTAGCACAGCTAAGGGGAAAAAAATTGCGGACTGCGTTGTTTAGCGACCCCCATGAAATGGTCGTTCGACCCCAAATGGGGTCCCGACCCACAGGTTGAGAACCACTGGTCTATAGGGTATTATAAGATCGTTCTTGGCTAAAACAACCAGATCTTTTACCAGTTTGAAACTGTACATGTAGTTCTTGACTTATGACTACAATTGAGCCCAACATTTTGTTGCCAAGCTAAGTGAGTTGTTAAATGAGTTTTGCCCCATTTTATGACCTATCTTGCTACATGAGCCGGTGGTTAGAATGCAGTACTTGCAGGCTAATTCTGCTGACATCTGGCTGCCAGCAGTTCCGCAGTTTGATTCTCACCGGCTCAAGGTTGACTCAGCCTTCCATCCTTACGCGGTTGGTAAAATGGGGACTCAAGATTGTTGGAGGCAATAGGCTGACTCTGTAAACTGCTTTGAGAGAGCTGTAAAGCCCTGTGAAGTGGTATATAAGTGCTATTGCTATTGTTACAGTTGTGAACCACTGCAGTTGTTAATTTAGTAACATGGTTGTTAAGTGAATCTGACTTCCCCATTGACTTTGCTGGTCAGGTCACAAAAGGTGATCACATGACTCCAGGACCCTGCAGCCATCACAAATATATGCGAGTTGCCAAGCGCCTGGATTTTGATCATGTGACCATGTACTACAACAGTTATAAGTGTGAAAAATGGTCATATGCCACTTTTTTCAGTGCTATTGTATCTTTGGTCATTAAATGTAAGTCGAGGACTACCTGTATGGTTAATTTTAGTAACACAACTTAATGTAGACTATAGAACAGTGGTGGCGAACCTATGGCACGGATGCCAGAAGCGGCACTCAGAGCCCTCTCTATGGGCGCGTGCGCCATCGCCCCAGTCCTAGGCCTTCGGCTGGGTTTTATAAAACCTTTTTGCTTTAGGCCTCCGCCGCCATGTGCAAAAAAAAAAAAAGGTTCAATCAATCAGTCAATTTCAACTTCTCATGGGGAAAAAAAAGTCTTGCAAAGCTGGAATTGATTGATTGAACTTTTTAGTTCCACCCAGCCTGCCATTACCACTGAAGCCATGCCCAGCCAAGGGCCACACCCACCCGGTATCTGATGATGCATAAGTGAGTTTGGGGTTGCACTTTGGGCACTTGGCCTCTAAAAGGTTCGCCATCATTGCTATAGAAACAGAGAGAGAGAGAGAGAGAGAGAGAGACAGTCCTTGAGTTATGATGGCAATTGGAACTGAAATTTCTATTGCTAAGAAATGTGGTCATAAATAGTAATATCACATGACCACATTGTTTACAACAACCATTCCAGCCATCCTGGTTGCCATCATTGAACAAGGACCCCTTGGGGTTTTAAGCAAGGATGTCACATGATTGTGACTACTTCTTTATTGACTTTGCTTGTGGGAAGCCAACAGAGAACATTGGAAATCACAGTCATGTGAATCCAGTTCACTACAGCATTGTGAGTCAGGTGCCAAGTGCTGTGATCATGGTTGCAGGGATGCTGGGAGAGCCAGAATTTTGAGGACAAGTCAGAAGGATCATTTCTTCAGCACCATCACAGGGAAAATGAATGATTATAACCTGAAGACTTAATCTTTTCCAATGATATTGTGTTTCAAAATACAATAACTATTTCACTTAAAAAAAACCTTAGGTTCACATTTCTGTGTATTAAATAAAGGATGAAACTTTATGTTGATGAGACAATGTTTCAACTTTAATACCATTTTTTTCACTTTAGAAATATTTTTACTGGATTATTGTGTAGTGGATACTCAGGCTTTGTTTTTTGAATATTCTTCAAAATCAAATTTGTTTAAGGTTCAGCTTAATTTTTGGACACCAACCTGGACCAGTTATTATTACTACAAATAGCTAGTTCAGCTAGAGATTGTTCTTCACATTGAACTGGTTACTTAGTCCCTAGTAACAAATCATTTGTTACTAGGGAGTCAAGTAACTAGTTCAATTTAAAGAACAATCTTCTAGGTCAGTGGTTCTCAACCTGTGGGTCGGGACCCCATTTGGGGTCGAACGACCATTTCACGGGGGTCACCAAACCACACTGTCCGCCATTTTTTTCTCTTTTCCCTAGCTGTCCTATTCCCTCTTATTGGTGGCCACACCCACTTGGGGGTCACCACAACATGGGGAACTGTATTATGGGGTCATGGCATTAGAAAGGTTGAGAACCACTGTTCTAGGTGAATAGCTATTTGTAGTAATAATAACTGGCCTAGGTTGGTCTTATATTATTAACTGTAGCATTACTATTACATAAAATAGACATTCTGAATTACATACATACATACATACATACATACATACACACACACAAAGTTTTTCTGACAGACCGGTCTGATTGATTGCACCTTGGCATTTTGACTGCTATACTGCAGTTCACTTTTTTAATAATCTCTTTTGCCTTGCAGCCCCCCAACTAGGGGCATTAAGCAGGCTCAAGTCGCAACTGCGATACATTACAAATTCAGATTTCTTTTTTGCTTGACTCGGCTGACAAAAAGGGGAGGAGAGCAGGTGGCCTGGTGGTTAATACAACTGCCTAGCATGTAGACTGCCCTGGTTCAAATCCCATAAAGGGTGTGGCTAGCTGATGAGGACAGATGAGTCCGAAATAGCTATACTAGTCTCCCACTTAAATCTTTAACTCTTGTCAGCAAAAAAGAAATCTGAATATAGATAGATAGATAGATAGATAGATAGATAGATAGATAGATAGATAGATAGATAGATAGATAGATAGATAGATATAAAAAGAGTCATTTTGACATGTTCTTCCACCCAAATATTTCAGTTCTTATTTTTTTTAATGGGGAATTAGATTCTTCTCCATTCTGTACAATTTACCTCAGGAATCCAGTTGAGAGGTATTTTGATTTAAAATTGGATAATAGGTTCTTTTTATCTGGTCACCACAGACCCATCACTATTCTTAGAAATTAAAAGTAATGGCCAGTTGTACTGGCTAATACTTTGCCATTAAATTTACTCATCTAAAGTCAAATGTATGCAGAAATGGTAGATGGTGCTTTAAAGAGCTACATGGAGATGTTAACAAATAATTTTGGTATTTTTTTTCTGGTAAAATGCAGTTTTTCACAGGCTATAACCTCCATGAATCAATTTATAAGTGAAGCTACCATACTTCCAAAATTTCTAAAGTATGTTTTTTGTCCTAAAAGTGTTAGGGAATGTTGTTGTATCATATTATTCACTGTAGAATTCCTTTGTAGGCGAGACCTCCCTTTTTATGGCACTGTTATGCCTTTCTGTTTATCTCCTTCGCATGTTTTCATAATATAATCCTAGTGCACAGGAAACACTGGCTCTCAACTGCTCAGCTGAATTTAAGGTTTTATCAAACTGACATCTGGATAAGGAGTTAGCCATGGCCCAGTAATGACTAACTGTGGCTAAGTGAATTCAGGAAAGGCATTCAGAAACCAGTTGAGAAGGGAATAGTTGGAAAATACTGCTTAAGCCAATAGCTCATTCTCAGTTCCCAATGCTTCGAATGATTGACCACACCAACTTTGTTTGTGATTCTACTTGCTGGTATTTTGAAGTGAGCTGCCTGGTAATTCATTCCCCCCCCCCCCCATTCCCATTTGTAAAGATTGAACTCTTTTATTTTTTATATACCATGTTATCTGTGTAATTTGTATACAGTTTCATGGCTAAATGTTAATGTAGTGATTACACTATACTTTCTTAATGTGCAGGTTAAAGATGAAGGTGAAATGAGGAAACTCCAAGAGCTCCATAATATTGTTTACAACCAGGCTTGTAGCTGGTTTCAAAGCTTAAGAAATAAATTTCACAGCCAAATACTTCAGTACTTTGGTCCAATGCCAGAGAAGGAAGAAAACCTGCAGGTACTTAGTGACTATAGTATCAGATAATTGTCAGTGTGACCTTCACTTGTTTTGCTAGTAAAGAGAGTAATACAGTAACTAAATTAACAGCTTTAAGAAATGCGAGACAAAAAAAGGAAGTGCAAAAACTGAAAAAAACAAGGGGAAAAAAATCCAGTCTGGATTAATTCTGACTTTTTAAAAGTTAGGTCTGGAATGTTGCCGATTACATTTAGCCTAGCATTTTAAACACACTTGGTTTTTTTTAAGTGTGTTAAGTAGTTATTTTACTTCTACGTTTTGTGAAAGATGGTAGTATTTTTAGATTTAGGAAATATTTTCCTTTTAAAACTCAAATTACATAACCACATTATTACACCATTTTTCTCCTAAATGCCCTAAGTTTTAATATTGTTTTATTTCCTTTTAATTTGGTTTCTTCTTTTTAGGAAACAGCTGATGGACCTGCGTGGTGTTGGTGGCTTCTAGCTGTTCTTCCTGTGGATCCTAAATATCAACTTTCAGTGTTTTCTATGAGGTCTTTGAGGGAACGTTTGATAAAAATTCAAGCTATATTGACCTATTTTTCCAGAGATCAGTCCAAATAATTAATGACCTGGACCTTAATACAACAGTATGGCTGTAACTTCAGCTGATTTTTTTTTCTTGCAGAATTTGCACTTTTAGTTCTGATTTGAGAACTATTAGGAAAAATTTTCCTATATCAGTAGTTGCTCAGTTAGAAGGATGCCATTAATATTGCACATACACAATTAATCTAGCAGCAAAATATTTATTTGCACTATAATACAAATGGAATGTATCGTATTATTGTCAAAAAAATTTCCACTGAGTGGTGGAAAGTGCAAGATTTAAAATTTGTCAGTTCAAGTTTACAGTATTAAAGACGACTTCAAAATCTTGCAAATCAGAAATTGCCTCAGCTACAGCACCTTGTTGCTATTTGCACAATTATTTAAATGTATTGTCTATTTGTAGAGCAAAAGTCTGTTTTAAGTCTTTAATTGTAAATTTGGCACAATTTTTTTGTGAAATTATTATAGGAATTTGGAGCCATGTTAAAGAACAGTTGAAAAATATTTCAAGAAGCTGTTGCCACTGTGACATATATCGTGAGACTAGAATTAGACATAGGTGACTATGTTATTTGGAGTTAATTAAAAGATTTAAATTAAGAGCCAAGGTGGCGCAGCAGTTGGAGTGCAGTACTGCAGGCCACTTTAGCTGACTGTGTTCAGCAGGTCAGCGGTTCAAATCTCACCGGCTCAAGGTTGACTCAGCCTTCCATCCTTCCGGGGTAGGTAAAATGAGGACCCAGATTGTTGGGGGCAATGTAAATATATATATACATTGCTTACTGGTGTACACTGCTTAGAGAGTGCTTGCACTTAAAGCGGTATAGAAGTCTCATAAATAAATAAATAAATGGTCTATTCAGTTTATAACAAAACAAAAAAAAGCAGGCATAGCAACACTGTTGGGCTCTGATGGCGAAACCTTTTAACAGGCTTCAAGGACTTCTGTTACCAGAGGAAAAACTAGAGGTGTCCTCTCCTGACCTTGGTTTTGTAAGAAATAAATTTATCTATGTCTGTTCCATGACTGATGAAGCCTCCATATTTGAACCTTATGATAGTCAAGGGAGCTGTATGATTTGAGTAACTTAACTCCTCCTTTAATACTTTTCTAATGCTAAAAAGAACAAAGGTTAGGGGGTACCAGGAGGATGTTTTCAGAGTCAGATTTTTTCCTCCAACTTTGGATGGAAAAATTCCGTATATCCAATACTTCCTGGACGCAGTAACCAAAATCATTCTTATATTTACACACACAATATCAAGTCTACTTACAAGGTCTTCATTTGGAAAAAAATATTTTTTAAAAAAATTGTCGCTGTGTCACCGTACTCTTAAATGTAAGTTGTTCGTGTTTGGGAACTACTGAAGTATGCTTTTTAAAAATAATTTCTGGAAAACAAAAGTTTGAAATGCAGATTTCCATGCCTTATTCATAACAAATTGTACTGCAACACATAAGATGGCAGTGTGTTTGCTAATCGGTTCATTTTGTAGTTTCTCAAATGTCTGTCTTGACTATGATTCATTTTATAAAGTTATTTGTTCAAAATTTTGCTTTTGCTAATATTTAATTTTCAATAAATCTAAAATTTATATTTTTAACTTTGATCAGAATCCTTAATGTTTTGGGGCTTTTAGCATTTATAATACCTTCTAGTGACACAAGGCCCAGGGGCCGGATGTGGCCCACAAAGTGGTTTCATGTGGCCCGCGAAGCCATCCTGGAAACAGTGAGGGAACGGCCCCCGCTGCCCTGGCCCAGGTTGGCTGGGAGTCAAGGTACAATTTTGTGGTGGCCATCTATGCTGAAACACATTCAATCTTAGCTCCACAAGGCTATCTGAAAACAGTGAGGAACTAACCCCTGCGGGGCAGCCCTGTCCCCTGGGTGCATACTGGGAAGGTGTCACACTTTGAGAGGAATGAAGAAATGCTCCATCGCCTGGAAGTGGCCAGCAAATGGCCTTCGCCTACTTCACATATCCAGCTTGATGGGCTCTGCCCTGGTCCCACTCCCTTCTGCCAGAGACCCTCAGATCTGTCCAGGTACCCTTGATGCGAATGATGTAGCACTGACCACGCCCACCCAGTAGGCCACACCCACTCCATCCACGCCCACCCAGTAGGCCCCAGCCCCCCAAGGGTAACCGCAATGCTGATGCAATGAAATTGAGTTTGACACCCCTGTTCTAGAACTTAGGTGAAAGTAGTTTCAATTACTTCAGCATGGCACTGAATTATTTTGAGGTCAGTGACAGTTTAGGGTCTGACTAACACTAAATTATGTATTTTGGAAACTCAACTGTATGACATTAAACATACAAATGGTTCATGCCATCAAAATGAATGGTTTTGGAATAAATTCTTGGATGAAATCTAATGAAAAGGGGGCAAAATTATATATATACATCTCCCACTTTTTGACCAGGAGTTTTATTTTTTTTACACATGGAACAGCAGCATTGTATGGTTGCTTCAGCCCAACATAGCTGTATCTTCCCTGTCTTAGCCCAGCAACTCAACCTCTGTATCAAAACTTTGTAAGGAATGCTTTTGTATGAGTAATCAACAGATTCTCAATATTTTTAATGAGCAGTTGGGTAGAACAGCATATAATTGTACTAGAAATAATAGAATATCTGATGTAGTTATAACTAGTATTGCCTTGTTGAGTTTTGTATTCTCTCAAAATAACATCTTCCCGTTATAGGGTAAAGCTTAATGAAATTCAAAAGTCATATGCTTAAAGTTGTGGCCAAATGATAGGCTGCACATAACCACCTAAAAATGACAAATAGTGCTGTAAGTCAAGCATTCAGTAGTTTTCCAGTGTGCAATTAAGCAATGGAATAGCCTGCCTCAAGTCATGGGTGCTTCATCACTAGATGTTTTCAAGCAAATAGCCAGCCATTTGTCTGCAGTAGTATAATACCTGCACTACGCAGGCAACTAGACTAGAAGACCTTTAATGTTCATTTCAACCCTCCAATTCTATGTAGTGATACAATATTTTAACATCTTGAATAACTTCTTATACATTTGATTTCACGGTGGGCCACATTCTAGAACAAAAGCAAACTGGTCCGTTTATTAATGGCACTGCTAGCTTTAATACAAATTTTAGGAGAATCGCCAGATGGGCATATTACAAGTCAACACAGGTAATATTTCTCTTTAATAACCAGTCATGATGGATCAGTAAGATCTATTCTACCTTAATGCACATAACTCTGCTTTCAGGTTACACTGTGCTAGAAAATACAAGATTAGTTGTTTACAATAGCTTAGAACATGACAGGGCACCTGTACACTCTTTATCATAAAATAGATTAGGAACAGTTTCCCATTAGTACTTATACTAGGAATGATATGTCATCAAATTCTGGAAGCTAAAATGAAAGAGTGGTTTAAGAATTCGTCTATAAAGTATATTCTCTCATCTTTTTGTCAGCCTGTTTTAAGGAGATCCACGTATTCAGAATGTTGGATCGCAGTTTGGCCCACACACAGTGGTCATTCAACCCAAAAATCTGAGCAGCAAATTGGGCAGCACCTTCAGGTGAAAGAACTGTGGAACAGCCAAGACCTGTTAAAAAGCAAGACAATTTTAATTTTTAAACTATATGATTGTCAATGTATTACCACTAGATCATCTTTAGTGTATCAAAAAAAAACCTGATACGTACCGTATATTCCGGCGTATAAGACAACTTTTGAGAGCGTTGAAACAGCCTCCAAACTCGGGGGTCATCTTATACGCCGAGTCGTCTTATACGCCGGAAATAAGGTAGTTTCTGGCGTATAAGACGACTTTCTAGGCATGCGACTCAGCGTCGATCATACGCCGGAAATACTGGTAGTTTCTGGCATATAAGACAACTTTCTAGGCATGTGACTCAGCGTCAATCGTCTTGCGACCCGGCGCCAAACTCGGGGGTCGTCTTATATGCCGGGTCGCCCTACACACCGGAATATACGGTAATATTTTAACAATTCATACAGAACATGGAGTTTCAGATGAATGTGGAGGACAAGGTACCAAAATTCTCTTCAGAACTGAAATTTGTTCAAGTTAGAGAAGGAGCGTAAGTTTTTTGAAAGTTAATGTTTACAGGTTTTACAGAGTATGCTCCTTCTTTGTCTGGACAAGTTTGTACCAGGACTGTGCAAGCTAAGTGTGAGCAAACCCCAGATAAAGGAGCAAAACGACTTCAAAAGAAAAACAAGAAAGCCCAATTTGCCTCATGGAAAAGCACCTCTGGATTTGCTTATTGACCATGGTGATTTGCTTAACAACCAGGGCAAAAAAAGATAAAATCAGGTGTTGGTGAGTTATCACCATTTCTATCTTTTACCTTTAATGCAAAAGTTTTTGTTGAGTGATAAGAGAAAAGCTAAAAATAACCAGTCTACTCATAATGCTGACAAATGTTAAGCCCAGCCCAGGAAAATATGAAGTTAAATATCTACAGCAGTGTTTCTCAACCTTAACAATTTTAAGGCATGTGGACTTCAATTCCCAGAATGCTGGCTGTGGAATTCTGGGAGTTGAAGTCCACATGCCTTAAAATTGTCAAGGTTGAGAAACACTGATCTACAGTAAATGGTGTATCCATTTTATTCACTGGGGGTGGTGTGGTGGTGTTAGGGTTAGGTAACCCAGTACTACAAATCTTTTTAAATCCTGCCTTTGAGCACAATCTTCTGTATGTATATTGTAGAAATAGTAAATTTAGAATCAAAGCATTCATTCATTCTAACGTTATCATTATTTTGAACAGAACTACAGCTGATAGTACATAATCTTACTAACTCCCTCAAAATTATTTGTTCCAAGTGTTATGATAAACCTTACCAGTAGGCATTCTCAGAGATGACCATATATCCTGGGCACCCCAATCAGCTGAGAGAGGAGGACAATTGACAACTGGATATGCAGTGTTTCCAGACAACACAGGTCCCAAGCCATTGCTCCTCCCAGCCACTGCAACAAACACTGTGGGAATCCCATCCGCTAATAACAAACAAACATGTATCAGTGTGATACAAATATGCTCACCTAAACAGATACTATATTATTTATCATTTTTTAAAAACAGGAATTGAGATTGCCATTGAACTTAAACAATAGTTCACTAAAATAGATAATTTAGACAAATTTGGGTTAGGTACCTTCGTATTCAGCTTTGATCCTCAGTGTTTCATCTGGTCCTTTGTGAGCAGAGGTCACTCGTAATTCACAAGGCACCCCATAATTGCCACATGCCTTTTTAATTTTCTCACAGTGACCAAGATCGGAAGTTGAACCCATGAAGACAACCACTCTGCCTTGACGTTGTGGTTTCAATAACAGCTAATAGAAAAAAAGACCAAACGACAATTTAAAAGTACTGAAAATGATGGTATGGATTATCCCTATGTGTTTCTCAGAGATGGTATAAATACCTCCACTCTTTCAGCCACCCATTCAAAATTTCTTTTCACCATTTGCAGTGCTTCAGGCGTCACTTCTTTGAGGTCACGGTAAGACTAAAAGCACACACAAAAGAACAAAAAAATTACACATAAAATGCCCAAGATTCACTGACTTCATACCTACTTAAAATGCCAATATTATAATTCACTGACACATCCATATACATATTTATAATAAGGTTTTGACACAGAGGCCCAATGCATGTAAGGATCAAAAATGTGATTTATAAGTTGTTGAT